TGATGAGATCTTCTTCTTTGAACCAGTAAATATCCAGTGGCCTCAGGATGCCCTTCTCCAGTAGCTGAGGCCCTGACACATACTCAATGAAAGTATCTAATGTCCCCCAACAGGAGGTCAGTCAGGAGACACACAGTTGTCCTCAGAGATGTGGGCACCTAATTCACGGGAGGATCCAATCGACACAACAACAGGAAGAAGAGGAGTGAATCTCTCCTTGTGGAGGTGCAGAGATTGGGAGTCAGAGAAGGAGAGGGATATGCTCAGGTCACTTGTGTGCAGACCCTGAGTTGGACCCTCCCCCTGCCCATAGCCCTCATGAGTCACCCCAGGGCCCCCCTCTGCTCCTTGTTCCCCGCCTCTGTCCTCACTCTCAGCACTCCACCAGGGCACCGCAGCATCACAAAACAGGACTTCTTCTTTTCCTTTCCCTCTTCCGGCCTAATCTCATGGATGAGATCTCCCTCCAACCCCTTATTCAAGGCTCCTCAATACCAAAAGAGGGGTCCCGGTACATCCTCCTCCTGCCCCACACTCTGCTCAGCTCTGTCCCACAGCCCACACTGCCGCCACCTCCAGTCACAAAGTATAGTCCCTGCAGACCCCAGGAGTCTCTCCTGATGCCTTTCCTCCTCCATCTCCTGTCTACTAACCTAATTCAGGGCAGTTCCCTTCCTGCTTCCACAACCCCCATAGCCTCCTGCCAGCTTCCCCACCTCCTGTCCCTGCTGCCCCATACCCAGTCCCCAAGACCACATGCCCTTCCTCACCAACACTTCCTCCCTCCCTCCCCTCCCTGGGCTCTGCCCCCAGGTCCACCCAGGGCCTCGACCTCCACTCACCTAGTGCTCCCTCTGGCCTCTGCTCTTCTGCACTCCTGGGTCTCCCTGGCCCAACCCCCTCCCCATGCCCACTCCCCCTCTTCCCATTAGCATCCAGACTCCTTCTCACCAGGCTGCCCTCACTGCCCTCTGGATCAACTGCCCCTCTCTGGGACCTAGATCCTGAAGCCCATCGAGCAAGGAACAGGATGGGACACAATTCCCTGTGCCTGTCTGAACTCAAGGAGAAAATATTCAGAGGGCTTCGCCTCCTTCCCTGCATCTCCAAGATCCATCTCGGGGCCTGACTTGTGCAGAGCCAGGCCTCCTGTCCAACACCTGCTACCCCGCAGCCTGAGTCAGCCTGTCCATCAAGCCACAGCAAGGCTGAGACAGCAGGAGAGAGTTTCTCTTTCATCTTCCATCACCCAAGGTCATGGCCAGGGCACTATGAACAGAAAAGAGCTGAGCTCTGAGATTGAGCCTCTGCCTCCATGAGGACACAGGGCAGGGAATTTTTCTGGGGACAGGGCAACACAACCCCCACAACCTCCTTTTTCCAAATTATAAAACATGCCCTCCAGGAACTGTTCCATTTCTTATAAGAACCTGGCTTCTTCCTTTTCTAATTCCCATGATAGGGCTGAACTCAACCCTGCTTAGAACTTCTCTAAGAGAAAGTCATGGTTTCTGAGACTAAACACTTTGTAGATCAAAAGGGTGAGGCGAGAATCATCTTGAACTAGGAGGAAAAGATTATGGAAGGAAGAAGAGGGACAGGGGTGTTCTCTGGGGCTTGGAGAGACCCAAACTCTCCTCACAGAGAGGCAGGCAAGGAAAAAGCTCACCAGCCAGAAGCCCAGAATGCAGGCTGAGTGTGGACACAGTGTGGGCCCAGCCCCCAAGGCCCAGATACACGCCTTCTACACCAGGGACCTGTCTCCCTTCACACGCCACTCTCAGTGCCTCCCCTCCCCAGCCCAAGACCCATACTCAAGCCTCATGGACACAGAAAGGAGATGTGCCTTGGAAAGAACCCATTGTCTCCCATGGAAAATCTCTTTCATATAATAGTAGAATTTTTGTAGAGGCTTTCCTAGTCCAGGCTAGCACAGCTGCGCACAGTAGCATACAGGAGTCATTCCAGCAACTCAGGAGGCTAAGGGAAGAGGATCTCAAGTTTGAGGCCAGCCTTGGCAATTTAGCAGGACCCTGTCTCAAAATAATGAAAACTACAAAGTGCTGGGTCTGCAGCTCCTTGATGTGGTGTCCAGTGTTCCCAGCAGGCTGGGCCTGGGCTCTGACTCTGCCCCGTTCTCTGCCCAGGAGGAACACACTGGCCCCCTGGCCTGCTCAGCGGCTGTAGGCACCAGCTGGGGACAGGCAGCATTCCAGCTGGACCCACCTTGGTTGCTGGCTCCTCTCACGTGGCTCCTGGGCCTGAGTTTCTGGCACTGATCACATGGGATTAGCTGAAGAGCTAACCGTCCAGCACAAGGACTGTGGACTTGCATTCACCACCACCCTGCACACCCCAAGTTGTCTCTGTGCCCACCTCACCTGCCATCCCTTCGGCCATCAGTGCCCCCACCCAGCCTACTGCTCAGGACATGGGGCTGTGATATTGTTAAAAGTGGCTAGGACCCATCCGTAAGATGAGACCCCTTGGTTCACTGTCATCCACCCAAAGATGTGGGGACTGCCCATGAGGCTCTGGACAGTGGTATCAGCACTTGCTTGTTTCACTTTCTCTCCTTTCCCCCTGATACTTGGGGATTTTTGAACGTTCCCCTGACCTGAGGGAATCAGCTGAACCTACCCCCACTCTCTCCCTCCAGAATGAGGTTGGGAAAGTCCGTAAGGAGGGTCCCAGGCAACCCCGAGGACATTGGCATGGAGATGCTGAGAGAGGCCCCGTGTCCACAGGAGCAGCATGGGCTGTGGAATAGCACGTCTACAGGGACGCTGTGGACCCTTAAGTTGGAGTCTCCTAGCTGTGGTTCCAGTCCCCCTGTGTGCTCACCCACAGCCCTGTCTTCCTGAGAGCCAGAAGAGGGCATTCGGCTGGTCCTTGCTTCCTCCACAACCCCACAGTGAGGGTGCTGAGCTGCTCCCACTCTCTCCCGCCCCTTGCTGTTAAGAAGTGGGTGTCAGAAGAGAGAGACTTATTAGGGGCTTGGGTGGGGTAGCACACTGGTGTCTACAGCAGCAGCTCTTCACACCAGGGAGTAGGGGTTTGGGTTTCCTGTTGGGCTACAATGAATGCGCTTCCGACCTGGGGGGGAGAGGAAGGGGAGGGTTTCTTTCCATTCTTCTGGCCACGCAGGCTCCTGGGTTTCCAGGGTGTGGAAATGCCTCTGGTGGCCTGTTCCAGGTGGTGTGGTTGTTTGGAAGTTGGTGGAAATCTTTGCCTGTTCTGGAGATGTTCGCTCCTCATTGTGGGGTGTGTCTGTGTCCTCAGAGCCCCTCATTCCTTGAAATGCTTCCCTCTGGCTGTGCCCCTCCCTCCTGCCTTCCCACACCTACCAAGACATGGGTGGGTTTTTTGGTTTTTGATTTTTTTTTTTTTTTTTGGTTTTGGTTTTTCAGTATCAGCACTTGCTTGTTCCACTGTCTCTCCTTTCCCCCTGATACTTGGGGATTTTTTAATGTTCCCCTGACCACAGATGTCAGCAAATCCTCCTGAATGCACACTGGGCTCTGATCTCTCTCCCCTTCAAGTGATTTCCATATCTAACTGTCTCCGGCATGTGTGCCCTGCATTTGTTGAAAGATTAAAAATTTTATGTGACCTTTGTTTTCACCTAACTGAAGGCTTGGGTAGGTGGAGTTACAGGAAGACGAAAAGCTAAATAAAAGTAGTCTGGACCTCCAGCCAGCAGCACACAGCACTTCTGAACAGAACGATGTGTTCTTGGGTAAGTCCCCAAAAAGGGTTTTGAAGATTTCATTTAAAAGCAACTGTGGCCATCTGTTAGCATGGGCTCCAGCTCAGGTGTAGAGAGGACAGGAAGGGAGAGGGGCAGGTGGCAGGTCTGGGGCTCTCACACAGCAGGAAAAGAATCATGGTTTGGGTCCAGGTGCCCAGAGGCTTCCTTGCCTCAGCTGCTGTGTGGGGTTTGGTCTCCTGAGTGCTGGCTGCCTCCTGGCACCTCGCTGAAGGCTTTTCTTTACCCAAACCAGGTTTCAGGAAGCACCTTATTGGGACGGGGTTATGACTCAGTGGTAGAGAGCATGCCTAGCACACATGAGGCACTGGTTTCGATCCCCTGCATCACATAAAAATAAGCAAATAAAATAAAGGTATTGTGTCCATCTACAAATAAAGATTTTTTTAAAAAAATAAGAAAACGGGCAATGATCTTCCAGTTGAGATCAGAGGAATTCTCAAATGATGGAGGAGCATTTATATTCCAAAGCATTTAGTTCTGTTGTTTTAATTTAATTACATTTTCAAATTTATTCACAGTAATATGTGAATGTATTTGCCTTGTTTAAGAAACAAAAAGCAGAAAGTCCAAGGGACATCAATAGAGGAAAGGGATGGGGTGGGAAGAAGGAGGTGAGGGAGAGGTGTTAGGGAGTGATACTGGGCATATTATATTGCTATATTGGTGCAGGTGTGTATAGGCAACAGAACACTCATCATTATGTACAAATATAATGCACTTGTAAAGGGATGTTGAAAGAGAATTTTTAAAAAAGAAGAAACCAAAATCCAAGTAGAAGCCCTGAGCATGAAGAATCAGCCCTTCTCCCAGACCCCCTGTGTTCTCTCTTCCCCCTGAAGCAGTTTGGGGTGCACTCTGCCAGATGGTTCTATTCATATGTATATAGCTCCTTTATAAGTGCTGACTTGTAGCCTTGTGTTTTATGGTGGTTTTTAACTGGGTTCCATGAGTAAAGTTCATCTAGATATACTTGAATCTTTCTCATTACTTAAATGTGTTTCCTAGAACCAATCTGTTGTATTTCAGTACATGTGTGCTGATGTTTTTTTTTCCAGTACTAGGGATTGAAACCAGGAACTTGTGCAAGCTAGGCAAGTGCTCTCTATAAATGAGCTACTTCGCAGCTCTTTTTAATCTTCACTATGAGGCCAGGTCTCCTAGTGGCCCAGGCTGGCTTCAAACATGTGATCCTCCTGCCACAGGCTCCCAAGTCACTGGGACTACAGCCATGCCTGACCACTGCCAGCAGGTATTACCTTTCTGATGCTAAAATCAGCCCACCTTGGGTCAAGCTGACTCCTGATCCTTGCTGCCAAGGACTTGAACTCCCAGGAGATCTCCCACCTCCTCCAGGCAGCTGCACCCTCACTTCTCTCTGTAGCAGCTCAGCTCCCTGGCAGGGTGCACTGGGCCAGATGCCGGGCTCAGCTGAGTTGGGGGAGGGCAGCTGGTTGCCTCAGTGTACTCCAGAGGTATAACTCATTCATGTGAACTTCAAAGAGAACCCCTCCCCCTCTGACTCCCAAACACATCCTGTCTTTCTCTCTCTTGATTTCGGCCTGGAGCCCAGACTCCAGCTGCCCCAGTTTGTCTGGGACTATCTGGGATTGTTCAGGCATAAATGTTGGAAACCCTGAGACTCAGTTTCTTCTGGATCTTCTGCTCTCTAGGAAAGTCACCTAACCATCCTAAGACCCAGTCTTCTCGTCTGTGGAAGACGGTGATGGTACTTCTTAGGATGATGGACAGTGGGGTCAAGTGTTCTGCAGTGTTTGGAACGTTGGGCTCTGAACAAGGACACTCTGAACATTATAAGCATCACTGAAGCCCAAGAGCATGGCTGGTGGTGGCCCTTAAGATGCGTTTTGGACCTTCTTGGGAATCATATCGACATTTGCTGATACAAACATTCTCTGTGCATAAAATGTTCTCTCTGCAGCTGGTGCACATCACTGCCCCACACTCCTGTGATACAGAACTACTGCCATGGTCCCTCAGAGACACCCCTTCCCATCTCCTCCTTGTCCCGAGACCTTTCCAGGCTAGCATGCACATGGTAAATGGAGGGGAGAGGCTTCCCACCTGTGTATGGAGCAATTTCTCCTCTCTGATTCCTCAGGTGATGAGCACAGGGATTCTGTAGGACTGGGTTGTGACTTCTTGCAGGTCAGATTTTAAAACATCCCATACAGAGGCCCCCTCTATCTGTGTCTGATTTTTCTGTTGCAGGACAGAACAAGTCCAGAACCTGGAGACCTCATTGAAATTTTTCGTGGCGCCTTTGAGCACTGGGCAGTCTATGTGGGGAAAGGCTATGTGGTGCATCTGACTTCACCAAGTAAGCATGGTTTCTCTATTAAACACAAGGGCTGAGATCAAGGGTAAGAACGCAGGCACAATTAAGTGCTGGTCCTCACACTGCCTGGCACAGCAGGTACTCAATTGGCATTTACTGAATGAATCATGCTCTTTGCTCTGGCTGTATCTCTGCTAGTCCTCATTATCAGTGAGTTCAGGGAGAATTGTTGACCTGTTTTCATTTTAGAGTGCATTCAGTCCCAGTTGATCCCACTGTAGTTGATGAGCATCCCTCCCAAGGTCCAGTCCCCTGTGTCTGTGGAGTTCTGCAAGGTCAAACAACAGTAGAAGGAGTTGATCCTTCCAAGAGTTTATACCTGGCTGCAGAGAGCAATGGACAGGTGTGGGCCTCCAACCTCCCCAGGTCCAGTCTGGAATCCTGGCTCCTCTGCCTGCTGACTGTGGAGTGTGTGGCTTCATCTCAGTCAGTTGAGCTCTACCTCAGAAGAGCAGGGATAGGGATTCCTGTCTCCCAGGCCGTGAGGGAGAGAAATGAAGGAGGGCAGGGAGAGCCTGTGCAGGGCCTGGCCAGGTGTGGGGCCTCCTCCCTCTCTGTCCCAGCATCATGGCTTTAAGGGACACGCGGACATGCTGGAAACTCCACTCACCTGCACACAGAGGAACACTGTCCAGTCCTTCAAGTCACTAGTAGAGCTGGTGTGGACATGCACCTGTGTGCACATAAGGAAGTCAGTCGAGTGAGAGACATTGAGACCTTCTGTGGCACCTACGGCAGCTCACAAACTCAGAGACTTTGAACAGAAAATGACAAAGAGCTCAGCTCACAGCAGTGCTCACACTCAGCTGTTAAAGCGTCATTGGGGGAGTGCATTTGTCCCTGAGCCTGGCCACTAGGAACCTGCCCCCCTTAGGCTGTGCTGCTGCGGGTGCTCCGTGGTTGGTGTCCAACCCCTGGGACAGCAGCAAGGTCCTGCTCACAGCAGGAGAGGGAGGTCTGTCTGGGTTAGAGCTGGCTCTGGGAAAATCAGGACAGTGTCCAGTTAGGGCTGCATGAGGTGGGCCCTTTGTTCTTGTTGGTTTGTTTGTTTGTTTGAAGCCCTGGGGGTTGAACCCAGGGTGCTCTAACCATGAGCTCTACCCCAGCCCTTTTAAAATTTTATTTTCAGTCAGACTCTCACTGAGTTACCTAAGCTGGCCACAGTATGACCTCCTCCTGCCTCAGCCTCCGGGGTGTCTGAGAATACTGGAAGGTGCCTCCACACCATGCCTAGTTATGGGGTTTGGGGCTACATTCAGTCTGTGGCCTCATTTCCATATCTGTTTAAAAATCCCCAAGATTACTCTTGGTCACCAAATGTTTGTCCTTCAGGGGACCTCGTAGATGGTAAACGAGGACTCAGCAGGTCCTTCACAGGGTTATGTGAATGTAGTTTTGGTGTCTTAGTGCTCATAGAGGTCATCTGTAAGGGCGTGTCTTCTAACAAACTTCACCTCCCTTGAGAGTACACCACATGTACAGAATGTTGTTAGTGCAACTGGTGAAGAAGAATACTAGGTGCTTGGGAACCTTCCAAAGCCAGGTCTCCAGGAGCCCAGACATAAGCAGTTGATTTGGGAGGCATGTCTCCTGATCAGGTCTCCTTCGTCCCTTGAAGTACCTGGATCCATCCTTTAGATCTTTCAGGGCCCAGGTTACCACCCCACGTTCATTGTCTTAGAAGCAGCATTTTCCACAGTGAGAACTTCAGTTCCTTCCTGTGGAGCAGTTAGACTATTGAAAACCTTTTTCCTGTGGAGGTTTGAAGCTAAACTTCTATGTCAGGCTGCCTAAAGAGAATTTAGTGAGGGGCTGGGGTTGTGCTCAGTGGTAGAGTGCTCTCCTACCATGTATGAGGCACTGGGTTCGATCCTCAGCACCACATAAATGTAAAATAAAGATATTGTATCCACTTAAAACTAAAATTAAAGTTTTTTTATACAAAAGAGAATTTAATGTGTTGTTAGAACCTTTTTCAGGCCTTGTAGAAATATTGGTCATGCTTTTCTAGTTCAGAGATTTCCACTTAAATAAAGAGCATGCTAAAAAAAAAATAATACCCAGTTTCTCTTCATGATCAGCTTTGGAAATTCTTGAAAAATTCAATTATGGAGGAATATTTTATGCAGATATCCCAGGCTGCAGCATACAGCTCCCTTAGATTGGAAATCTTTGTGTATCTTTTTACCACAAATAATGAATAATCCAATGTGAAAGAGACAGAGAGAAAGTGTGCGTGTTTGCAGGTAGATCCCATTACCTACCACCAAGTGTTTTTTTTATGAATACCATGATTATTCTTGGCACCTTGGCATTGGCACGATGCTAGGTTGAATGACTGGGCTTTAAACCAGGGTAAAAGTATAACACATTCTTACCAATTTGATAGAAATTTCCACAATTTATACCCCCAATTAAATATGATTGATTCCTTCTGCAGACATGCCCTGAGTATTGGTCTGCTACTACACAAACACTCCATGTACTCACAGAGTTTCCACTGATTTCAACTATGGTTCCAGTGAGTTTCTTAAGAGCATATTTGAAGGTATCATTTTCACTTTCTCATTTTAGTTCTGATTCCTTCAACACTGGACTCCAGAATCTCCCATATGAAAGGAATTAATAATAGAGTAAATGTCCATGCCCAAGTCAGGCCCCAGGACATGAAGATTTCCCAGGTAGAGGGAGGCAGTGAAAATATTGCAGCCGTCCTGAGCCACCCCTGGGTGGAGGGCTGCTTACAGCACTGCTCCAGCTGGGAATGAGCGCTGGGGGAGGACGCTGTCCAGGGGAGGGGAACAAAACTTTCTGAAAATCACTTCTGTCCCAATTTGCAGTGAGGCCTCTATAGCCTTGCCCTGGCCTGAGTCCACTGTTTCCACAGGTGAAGCTGCAGGACCTAGCGTGAACGGCTTGGGTTCCGTCCTGGGTAACAGAGCCATAGTGAAGAAGGAGCTGCTGTCGGTGGTGGCTGGAGGAGACAAGCACCGGGTCAATAACAAGAACGATAACAAGTATGAGCCACTGCCACCTGACAAAATTGTCCAGCAGGCAGAGAAAATGGTGGGGACATACGTGCCCTATTCATTGACCAACAACAACTGTGAGCACTTTGTGAACAAGCTGCGCTACGGAGTTTCCCTCAGTGACCAGGTGTGCCCTCAGCCTGTGTCCCCTTCCCTGGTACCAGACCATTCCCCAGCTGACAGGGGCTGGGCACCTGCTGAGGGCTGGCAGTGCAACCTGACTTGGACATTGCCCTTGATCGGGGGTCAGGGAAGCTGGCAGAGAGAGCAGTGGGGTCCAGGAAAAGGGGACCCTGGTCATGTTGGGCCCATTTTTCCTGCACAAGGTCAACAGGAAACACTTCAGCTTTTGTGGGCCAGCTGGTCCCTCTCCTTACTCTGTCAGGGTCACTCTGTAGCCTGAGAGCAGCCATAGACTCTGTAAACCAACAGGTGAGGCTGTGTTCCAATAGAGCTTGATTGTTTACATTTATTTACTTTTGTAGAAATAGGTGACAGGCAAGATTTGACCAATGGGACATTGGGTAACAAGTCTTGGTTTAAAAGAACTTGAAGTACTGGGGCTGTAGCTCAGTGGCAGGGCACTTGCTGGTGTGCATGAGATCCCAAGTTCTATTGCCAACACCACACACACAAAAAAAACAAAACCATGAAATATTACATTATACATTTTTAGGTAACAAACAGTTCAAAAATCATAAATGTAAAATATTTACAGATGATGTATTTTTTGCAATTTGCATCCATGATTTCATTCCAAATTTTCTTGACAAACTTGGAGTTACACAACTAGCTTATTGAGTGTGTGAAAAATGTCTTCTACATAATTCAAATAGCTAAGCCCAGTGTTATTTTAAAACTGTCAATGAAATCAGACAATTTTTCTAGTGAAAACCTGACAATTTTTCAGCTCACATTGAAGGTGTTAATGCCCGTCACCATGACACCAGCTCACATTGTTTCAGGAGGCCTCTCTGTTGGGTTGGGTTGTTTTCTGTGTTTGGGCTTTGGGTTTTTCTTTTTTTTCTTTTTTTTTTTTTTTTTTTTTTGGTACCAGAGATTGGACCAAGGGTACTTTAACTCTGAGCCACATTCCCAGCCCATTTTATATTTAACTTAAAGACGAGGTCTCTCTAAGTTACTTTAGGACCTCACTAAGTTGCTGGGGCTGAACTTGAACTTGTGATCTTCCAACCTCAGCCTCCCTAGCCACTGGGAGTACAGCAGGTGCCACCATGCCCCACTGAGCCCTCTCTGTTGAGGGTATGTGTTCTTGAATCCCCCCTCCTTGGTGTCCAGGGAAGTTTGTACCTTGGCCTGTGCCCCACAGATTCAGGACAGGGGAGGCACTGGCTCTTCTTTGGTAAGGTAGGAGAAGGGCTGGGTGAAGAGGGGAGATGGGCAGGAAAAATGCGTGCCTCCTGGATGTGAGGGCCCCAGGCTGATAACTTGGGAACTGCCAGTCAGCTGTGGGCACTGGGGTGAGTGAGACCTGCTTTTTGCTGTGACCTTGCTGAGTTGGTCCCCATCCTATCAGCTGGGGGGGTAGACATGTGTCTGGACCCAGGGGTGGTGTTCTGGGTGGGGGGGGACTGCCTCATTGTGCATCTAAACCCACTTCCAAAGGTTGTACAAAAGCCTCAAGGATCACGTCCCACCCACAGGTGTTTTAGGGGTGGTTGGCTCTCTGCTGTGCTTCTCAGGGTTCAATTCAAGCAAGACTGGGGCACTCAGTGACGGCTGTGCTGTTTAGTTTCTCCCTGGCCTGGGGATCCCATTTGGGAACCTCTTCTGCAGGTATCTCAATGACTCACTTCCTCTCCCTCTCCCTCCTTCCTTGTCTTCTGCCCTGTCTCCACAGGAAGCTCCCCCTCTGCCTGTCTCCAGCTCTTTCTCCTTCTCTCTCTGTACACAGTGTGCTGTGGGCCCTGCAGAGCTCTGGGCCCCTAGTGAATCTGCCCACACTTTGCTCTGATAGACCACTAACCTCTAGCATGGCCCCTGGAACATGAAGCTCTGTCTGAGAAAGTTCCCAATCCCCTTTCAAATCCCTGTGTGGGAAAGTTCTATTTTTTTCCAAGCAGATGGGCATTAATTGGTGACAGGGTCACACTTAAGGTCAAGACTTGCCTGGCATGTGTTATTTTTTCCAAGCAGATGATAGTTGCAAGACCTCGCTGTCTTAGTACATTTGATGAAACAAGCTTTAACTAGGAATCCTTCCTCTGACTCTATGAGACACGGAGTGGAAAATAGGAAGCTCACATAGACACAAATAGTGGCCTTAAAACTCAGAAGGGTTTTTCTCCAATCTGAGAGGGATACCTTTGGAATGTACTCATCAGAAAACCAGGGCCTCCAGCCATCTCCACTGAATAGTATGATCTGAACTTCAATAGTTGCCAGGGAGAACACTTAGCTGGCCTCATTGCATTTACTAGATCACCCTTCATCATTTTTTACCTCCCTGACTCTAGGGACACCCACTCGCCCCCCTCCCCCCCACCGGCTCCCCATCTCCCTTTGAAACACCCCTCACCTCCCTGCCCATAGTATTTCCCTCTGGGATGTAATGAACAGGACAAGGACAGGGATCATGGGTCTTTCCTGAGCTACAGGTTCCTTGCCCAAGTATCTCTGCTCAGACTCCTCATGTGGAGAGTGACCCACTCCCCCCTCTTCTCCTCTATTGCAGGTGATTAATGGAATCATCACGTTTGTTACTACAATTTTATTTGGTGCTCCAGGACTCGTCTTCAGGGCAGTGGCCAGAGCACTGCGGAACAATTAATAAATCTAAGGCGTTATGTTGGCGGCACCAGTTAACTCTGGGGGATTTGAGCAAGCTGGTTTACAGATTTCACTCTCTTTTGAAATCATCAGCACTTGGTTTAGTAAAGCCGAATCAAAGCACAGGAAGCCTTTATCTGAGGGAAGTGCTGCTAGCACAAATTCTATTAAAGACGAGATTGCACAATATCATGGTCTCAATGTTTGTGTCCCCTCCCACCACAAATGCACATGTTGATTCTCTAACCACCAATGTGTGCTCTTCAGAGGTGGTAGTGTAAAGCAGTCACTAGGTTTAGACAAGGTGGTGAGAACAGGACCCCCAATGTTGGGTTAGTGTCCTTAGAAGAAGAAGAGGAAGAGCGACCAGAGCTGTCTTTCCCTCCCTCTGCCATGTGCAGCCTTACTGAAAAGTGGGCCAACTGCCTGCCAAGAAAAACGTCTCTGGACACCATGTCTGCCTCACCTTGATCTTGGATTTCCCAGCTGCTGTGGCTTCAATTTAGTTTGTCCCTTAGAAATCCATGTTGTAACACAATTCCCCTTAAGTGGTATTAATTTTAAGGATTAATCCATTCATGTGGTTAAATAATTACTAGATGAGTGGGTTGGTGGTCTAGAGGGTTGTCTCAGGATGGGTTTCCTATAAAAAGCCACCTTGGCTCTGTCTTAGGTGCTCCTTGTCTCTTTCTGTGTGATTCCTGCAATGCCTCAGGACTCTGCCAGCAGGAAATCCATCTCCAGGTGTAGACTGTTGACCTTGGACCACACCATGAGCCAAAACTTCTTTTCTTTATCACTTACCCAGTCTGTGGTGTTTCATTTTTAACAACAGAGAACAGACTAAAATACCAGCCTCCAGAGCTAAACTGTGCACAGTAGAAGTCTGTGGTTTAAGCCACACCAACTGCAGCCTGCTGTCACAGTCTGTGCTGGCACACACAGGCTCCTGGCCCTTCAACTTTTCTGCTTCCTTCCTCTTCAAGGTTATTTTTATTTAAGTGGTGTGAGGACACACACAGGACAGCAAGGAGACTGACCTGAATGACGGGTAAGAAGGGAAACCACCGGGTCAGCCAGGGCTGGTACCTCATGGGCTTGAGTTGTGTGGAAGAGTCTTGACCTTGAGTGTGACCCTGTCACTAGTGCCCACCTGCCTTCCTCTGGCCACTCTTGATGCAAACAGTGATTGGAGTCATTCCTTCCCTCTGCTCTCCATGTCTCGTTTCTGCCTGTCTCTTCCACCTCCTCAGAGCTCCTGCTTCCTCACCACATCTGCTGGCACTGCCTCTCGTCTCTGATCCCTCATTCCCCTCTGCTCTGCTTTCTGCCTCAGCTCAACACCACTGTTCTCTGCTACCTGCTCCCACACTAGTTCCTGGGAGTATCTGTTTGGCCAAGTGCGACACACAGCTTGGCCTGCCCATTGGCTGCCCTTTCATCACATGGCCCACTGGGCAAATCGGCTCTGCCCAATGGGGTCCATCACATAATTCCCACATGGCCACGAAGCAGTTTCACTTGCAGAGGATTGCAGGTCAGGCCAGGTCCGTGACTGAAGGTCCTGGTTCAGGTGCAGTGGAGAATGATATGTGGGGGCAATCCTGGCTCCAACTTTGGCCCCTCAAGAACTGCAGAGAGCTTGGATCTTGCACCAGAGGAGATCCATTGTCTGGAATTAGCAACTGGAGCTCACATTACTCATAAGATCTGATTCCCCCATATGACACTGTTATTTGTAAAATTTAAAAAAATGTGGGAATCAAACCTTTTACTAATTTTTTCATGGATAAATTGCCCATTTTCTTAGTATCAGGATTGGGCAGTGAGTAGCAAAGTGCTATGTCCTTTCCAGCCCATCTCCCATGGCCAGGCTTCTCTGTCTGTGCCTCTGGTGTGGGGGAAAGGAGACCAGCTCCTGTGACTACTGTGTTTGCAGAACCAGTTCTGTCGTTTTTTTCTTCTTTTTCTGCAGTTCTGGGGGTTGAATCCAGGGCCTTTCACATGCTAAGCAAGCACTCTGCTACTGAGTTATTAGTAAAACCATCTTTTAGAGCAATTTCCATCACACACACACACACACACACATACACACACACTTATTAAACAGGTGATCACCAAGAAGTCACTGGGCCACTCATGCATCCTGTCCTGAAAGCTGAATGAAGACACAGTCCTCTCTCCTTCTGGGTGCTGTATCCATATCTTACATGAAAGCTTCACTCAGTGCAAGATGCTGTCTTCAAAATCAGCATTGAGCAACTGGAAATCCAGTCAGAGGCTGGCCACAACAGGTGCATTCAGGTGCCAGTCCCAAAGGCACAGGCTCCAAAGGCCTCCCTCATGTTGCATCACCTCAGAGCTGGGCAGAGTCTCTACAATATTCTAGCCAATTCACATCTTATAAGTAGTAGTAATTTCACCTGGGAGAGGGAGGTGATTTCCAACCTCCAACTGTGCTGTGTATAGAGTCCTTAATTTTTCCAAGGAAAGTCCATCTCCAACATTCAATTTACTAACTGGAAAAACATCTGGTGAACAGATGTTGTTATCATCTGGATAAGCAATGCTCCCACCCCAAAGCTCCTGTGTCAATGCAGGGAAGACTAGATGATTAGATTGCGAAAGCTGTCTGTTCTCTTATTGTCTAATTTTTTGAGTTCTTTGTATACTCTGGATATTAGGGCTCTATCTGAAGTGTGAGGAGTAAAGATTTGTTCCCAGGATGTAGGCTCTCTATTTACCTCTCTTATTGTATCTTTTGCTGAGAAAAAACTTTTTAGTTTGAGTAAGTCCCATTTGTTGATTCTAGTTATTAACTTTTGTGCTATGGGTGTCCTATTGAGGAATTTGGAGCCCGACCCCACAGTATGTAGATCGTAGCCAACTTTCTCTTCTATCAGACGGCGTGTCTCTGATTTGATATCAAGCTCCTTGATCCATTTTGAATTCACTTTTGTGCATGGCGAGAGAAAGGGATTCAGTTTCATTTTGTTGCATATGGATTTCCAGTTTTCCCAGCACCATTTGTTGAAGATGCTATCCTTCCTCCATTGCATGCTTTTAGCCCCTTTATCAAATATAAGGTAGTTGTAGTTTTGTGGATTGGTTTCTGTGTCCTCTATTCTGTACCATTGGTCCCCCGCCTGTTTTGGTACCAGTACCATGCTGTTTTTGTTACTATTGCTCTGTAGTATAGTTTGAAGTCTGGTAT